TAATAATGTCAATATCAGAGGAAGGAGCTTGAGAGTCATGGTGGGTAGATGCAGTAGATGGACAAAGAATCAAGTCTGGCTGGCTAGCCTACACATACACTGCAGCACTCACAGCCAATTGGTCTCCAATCAATCCATTTTGGTCTCAAGCCCTCCCCCCACCCCCTCATGCATTTTGCCTCCATTAAAAAGCGCCAAATGTGGCTAATTTTGAAGTGCTGGGCTGACACTGTGCTTTCCCCTTCATGGGCTGGAATACATTCCTGATGTTATCCAGCATATGTGGCACGCTGAAAGGCAGCACAACTTTTGAGAGATAAGCATGTATTTTTCTTCTCATCCTCTTGCTATCAGCCAAACTTCTATCATGTAATTAAATCTAATTGCACATTCGGAGCAGTGCAGCTTGATGGGTTAGGGTAATTGGTCCCACATTAGAAACCATAATTACCACTCCGGCCGCAGGATAATGTGTTTTGCATCATTATTGTCACTCATTCTTGGGAGCAGAAGTATTCAACATCTACACCTGCTGTGCTCTTTATCTCTATATGTGTGAATTCATACGTGAATTTGTGTTTGAGGTACAGTACTAATAATTCAGATGAAAAAGATTTATTTAGATCAGACCAACACAATACAGGTCCACCATCGAAAAAATGGCATTAATGTATAGTAATGTAAAAAGTGCTTCAGTTGCTACAAGAAGAGGAAATGTGGCTTGAAAGCCATGTTAATTCACAGCGATATCTTCTATGAATGAATCAGTGAATGAATGAATCACTTCGTATCTCTGGACATGCTATCTTGAATGCACACTACTCCCACCCATAAATGGCATCCAGATGATGATAGTGATTGTAAGAAGGAGCAACAAAGCGCAGGCGTCCTGCACTGTGTTCAGCCTCCTCCGTCTGGAGTTTGTGATAAGGTGAACCGTAAAGCACAAATCCACGTCTGCACACACCGAGCTTGTTATCTACTGTAGGTGATAAGAATATGTACAATTCATCACACATGGAAAATTTGTACAAATACCCAGGACCCGCTCTAGATTCCTTTATGTGCAGTAGATAAACATATTGTTTATATTTACATGTTTTCTTTCTCCACAACTGGAACCAGAGAGGGAGTCACAGAGGTTTGTTTCACCTGCGACTTTTCTTCCTCATTGTTCTTGTCACTGTTAAGGAGTAAATGCACTTGTGTGGACAGTACAACTGCTTCAATTTGTTAAAGTTTAAATGAACTGTATAGGGAGACCTGGAAAGAAACAGCACTGCAGGGCCGGTATTTATCAAGCATCTCGGAAATCCCTCACAGCAACCGAGCCCAAAGTTAAACCAGGACTGAAAACCCTCCTACCTCAGAGTAGGACTGAGGGATATTTATGGAGCTTCTTACTGCGAAGAGAAACAGAGAGACGACGTATTGTAGTACAGTTATGGTTTGAGATATTAGACAGTTATGTGTAGGTTTGGAATATATAGTTAAACAATATAGGTAACTATCTAGGTTATTTATGGAAAAAAATATGCAAAAATTAATACACAGCTTAAATAATATTCACCAGCAACCATTAGCATAGTTTGCAAGCCCAAACTATTTATAAACTATTTAAATTAGTAGATAACTTGTGTCTTATAACATCTATAACAGTACTGCATCATGCATTGTTCAGTATGTATTGCACATGCAGCCAGGGTCCGAAATGAACTCCCACCCAGCGCAGGATTCGGGTACATTTTCCATTTGGTCAATTTCGGAATCTCGGAAGGCCGCACTGTAATAAAAAACTATGCTGAGAGTCTCTACTGCATTTCGATGTCATTTACAGCCGCGTTGCTTCTGTCCTCTGCTGTCTGTCGGAGTTTGACACACACACTCACACACACGAGACAGATGCGTGCTGCGTTTTACTGAAGCGCAATGATTTGGTTAGGGAGGAGCGACTGATTTAATAGCTGTTACTTTCGCCTCTTTTGAGTAAAATCCTACAGGCTGTGACTTCGGGCATTGTCAGTGGTGTAACTGGGAAACTGAGAATGCTTGTCATCATAGAAATCAATCATAATATTTCTGATGTTTATGCAATATCTGCTGCCTTCCCCTTGACACATAGCTCAACTCAGTTCCAGTCCGTTATCCGTCTGTGGCGCAGTAGCCTTCAGTGCTGATAGGCTTTTAGTCAGAAAGGTAATTTTGGACGCTGCATGCATTGCTGATGTTGCAAACCCTCTGTGGGCTGTCGAAAATCCCCAGATCCTCCACTGTCTAATCCCCCGCTCCCTAATTTATGCATCTTAACAGGTGGGGGGACATTTTTAGGCATTTCTGTAATGTCACCAACTCCATGAAATACACATTACAATATGGTATATCTCTCAGATATTTCAACCATCCACCATTAGTCATTTTAAATGAGGGCTGCAACAACGATGGTTGTCATTACAGATTAATCAAGCAATTATTTTCTTGATGAATTGTTTTGTCCGTAAAATGAGTGAGTAAACAGTTTAACAGTTCCCATTCTGAATTCAGACAGTCTATGGTGATGCATTCAAATTGCACATAGTCCAAAACACAAAGATAATCACTTGAGTATTGTATATGATGAAGAAAAATCATTTAAAGGTGGAACCAAAGAATATTTAAAGCTGAAAAATAACACAAACAAAGAAAAATTGACAATTACCAACATAGTTACGATTATTTATCGTATCAACTACTCCAATAATCAAGTGATCATTCCAGCTCTTATTTAATTAAAGAAATAACACATGATGTGCATGAAGCAGCTTGTGGATGTCAGTGCCTGTTTTCTGAGGAGTTGTACAACTGTTAAAGTTAGATTTATTACTGCTGAAAATGGTGGTTGAGTGGGATCAAATCATCTCTGTGTCAAAGCTGCATTTCCCCTGTTGCTGTAGGTTTGCGAGGACCTTGGGTTTCTGCCCTTGCCCTGTTGTGTTGACATCCCACGGAAGGTCAAACATGAGTAATGTTTTGTTGTAACATGCGTTTCTTCCTGAACTAACGGATTAACCCTGGTTAACTAACTCTCCTGGAGCGCTACCAAGTTTGTTTTCTGCCCAGTTCGCACTCTGCTCAAGCTGCTTTACACAGGCCTTGAACATCTTTTAAAAGATGACCTCTTTGGCTTTGCTTAAAATTCATGGCTGTATTCAATTCGGTTTTTACAGGTTGGGTAAATGCTGAATGCTTATCAACTTGGTCATGTTGCGTTCTTTTTGCTTTAGGTAAACAAAGAATCTGGCAATCCATGTAACCTTACAGTTCAAGGGTCAAAAACATTGTTCAGCTCTATTTAAGGTTTCCACAGTGTAATCAAAGTGTTAAACACTGAAGGCCAAACATTTAGAAAACAAATCCTGTCGAACTGAAGTTCTTTTAGTTCCACTCTGGTTCCTACCAAAGCGCATGCTGTCAGATCTGACACATTGATTAGCCACTGCGCTTGCACGCTATGCTCCTGCTGGAATTATTTTAGACCAAGACAGAAAATAATCTTACAATATACAATAACTCACCTGAGACGACTGATTTACAGGAAGGGCAGTCTCAGCAGCAAAGCATTGGTTAGTTTAATACAATACAATGTTTTAATACTCAAACCGTATATATGCATACACACATTTCTTAAACCTTGCCTGATGAATGTCTGTGTGAATGTTTCTGACACATTATCTGAATCTTGAGTTCCTGCTGAGTTCTGAGATCAGTCAGAGGCTGAGCTGCCACACAAAGACAGACACACACTCCCATGTACTTCCATTGCTAGCTACCTTACAGCTAGTGTTCATACGCAGAGTTTATAGATTGGCTGTTTGGGGTGAATCCACACAGACAATGGTCCAGAACTTGCTAATTCAAGTTCCTTAATTGCCTCCGTGAGCTGTGCGTCACAGCTGCAGCTGCAACTCCTGACTGTGTTTGTGAGCGGCTAAATCATCAACCAAACTACAATCACTACATTAACAGTCACAGAATATTCAGTTTTTTTGCCCTTATTCCTGAAAAGACAGTATTCCCACTAAGCTATTTACATGGCAATTGAATAGTCCCATTTACATTCAGCTGTGTGACTCTGATTAACTGTTAATGACGTGCTGTATGTAATACAGAAAATGTTCCTCCTTTTCAAACAGTCACGTTGCTCCCATGGTTAAAAAAAACAGCTGGAGCTGCTGGGCTCATTTAGATTTTTTCATTAAAGGAGGAGTTTTTTCAGAGTTTTTCACTGGTTGCAAACACTGGCTTTCTCTTTCATTCCTTCATTTACCTTCCTGAAAAGGTTGCCTTGCAACATTTGTGCATATCGAAAAGTCTGTTGATATCCTAAGTCTTTCATAATGTTTAAATGTCAGTGTGTTTCTCCTTCCAACCAGAAATGTGGGCTTTTCTTTTGTGCATGCGTATCTATTCAAGCCTTGCAAACCGTTGGCTAGTTGGTATATACGCACAGGGCTGACCGTGAACAGGAAAACTGCGGTAAAAACCACAAATGAGACGTGTATTCCGAGCTGTATACATGTGCAAAGAATACTTCTAAAACCTGAATAATATTGGCACATCCCACACTTTGACTTCATAATATCCTTCCTTCACATCTCCCCCTTCTGCAGTCTGAAAACCTGATATATATGATTTGAATGCTGCCACCATCAAAAGCATTGAATATGTTGAGGTGCTTGAAGTATCAGTGGGATGATGTCCATGACAGCAGTCAGACAGAGTTATATTTTTAAAATTTTTTTGAAAATCAATCTGGGGGGTCTGTAGTCCAACCCCTGGTGTTGACACTTGGATAAAAAATTAAGGTGTTAGCAGTCAATAGAATATCCTGCCTGCGGCACTAAGGCTCTGTCAACTCATGAATACTTCAAGACTTAAAACAGTTCGTGGGATAACATTTCTAGAGCTGTAATTGAGTGTTTCAGTTCATAAAGTAGTTATTTTTCTTCTCATTCTTATTTCAGCCCATCAGTATGCTACTCTGCTTCTATTCTGTGTAACACGGTAGGATGAGGAGGATGTGATACATTCTGGCGGTCACGGCCAGATTCCCGCCAGATGACCAGATGAGGTGCAGAAAGAGACAGTGAGGCTGAGGATGCAGGTAAAGGAGGGTGCAGGTTTAATGAAGGCAATAGCAATATGACTGACTGTTGAGCAGCAGCTCAGCAGCTTGCTGCAGATAGGATGAGAGCAAGCTGACATACAAATAATAAACCACTAATAGGAAACAAATGAAAAGATGTTCAACAGATGATGTAATGTATGGAGGGAGTTAATCAAACTAGTAATTTAACTGCTACACTCCCAGTTATGAATACTGTAGCTGTAGATGTATATAAATCAATAGCAAAGGTCCCTGCAGCCCAGACAGACAGACAGCACACAGACTACACAAGCCATAAGCCAATAATGGACTAAAAGCCAAGACATCAAACTAAACATGAGACTGCAGCCACAATGTACATTATAAAAAAAAGGACCGCAACCTTTTACTTTCACCAGCAACAATCTTAACTTAAACTTGAAAAAGCACGTGGATCAACTGTATGATACAGTACAACAAAGTAAACATTACACCAAAGGACAAGACGTCCGCTGTTACCACACCAATGGTCTACATATCCTTGCATATAAATCTTGCAAGGGGCCTGCTGAAGCTGAGTGTGTAGCAGCCAGACGAGGTTGTACACTTAACGTTGCTCCGCTCCTCCGTGGTGCCTCCGCTCTCCTGCCTCACTTGGATGGCAAGCTAACGTTAGCAAGTGTGTCTGCAGATTTCATTGTAGACTTGTAGACAGCTGCTTTGAGTAAGAGAGACAAAGTCTGTGTGGACTGCAGTGTATAGGACCAGCAGAGACAGAAATGAGCCTGTTGTACAACTTCTTTCCACTCTTCATCCATAGTACTCCCCGCTAATATGTACCAATGTTTAACATACTGTTGGCATATGTTTATAAGACCTGCTTTTGCTCTTGTATTCTCTATTCCGTGGCTGTGTCTTGTTCCATCGACCCAGTTTCCACATGGGGATCATTAATGTTTCATCTTATCTTAAATCTGAAAGCCAAGAAGGAGAGAAAGGGAAAGCAAGGCAGCAGAACTGAGAACTGGTGGTGGATATCAAAAGTGTTAATCACACTCTACATCTCATCCTGTTGTCCCTGCGTGCACCATCTGACACGGCAGGCAAGCTTAAGCCGCTCTTCATTTAAAGTGAAACTTAAGCACGTCTGCTTACTTTGTTGAAGAGCTAAATGAGGCCAACGTGGTCGAAACACGGACCTGTCGATTAATGCTTTGCGGGGGTTAAATCTCACAGGTACAATGACCCATGAAGTACTCGTGTGTGGGTCATTTCTACTTTTCATCGCATTGTTTCGGTAGCCCTTGGTTACTGTTTGTTTATTCCATGCCGTAAGTCCAAAACGCCTACCTCCAGCACATAATCCATGCTAATGTAAACTCTGCTTTTATTGTATTATTGATGAGGGTCAGAGATAAAATAGTAAAGTGTTTTTAAACAGAATTGGTTAACAGGCTTTCATGAAAAGTGCAAAGCTACATTTAAAATAAAAAGACACTATTACTGACTATACTGCAGTTAAACTAAACATAATCAAACTTATAATGCAATAATTAAATCCCAATACCTGAATTAACATCATTTAAAATGCATGAATCTTTTTTTTTCTAATTACTTTCAGAAGCCAAATCTGCCTTTAAAAGTCTGTCACAGTGTTAAATAAACCTGCTGTTCACTCTGCACTCTACACTCTCTGACGCCGAGAGTCTGCAAGCTGACTCAATAGGCAGACACTCTGTTGGGGGCTGACACTTGCTGTCATCCACCTATCATTAATTGAATCTGCTGGCTGCTGCATATATTGTGACCCTGCAGCTTATTTGCTCACACCACTGTGTACAAATCACATAAACACAGATATGATTAACCACGCCACTTACAGTATGCTCCATGTAAACACAATAGCATACAATATTGTGATCAAAACTGAGATGAGCCGAACCTCTAAACTGCTGCCGTTGGTTGAAAAGTTCAGTATTTTATTAATGCTAAGGTTGAAGATAGTCTGTCTAAATCCTGTGCAGACTTTCCTGCCACACCTGATCCACACTGACATCCTCTGGCTATGGATATTTTAAAAAATCCCCAAATAATAGGATGCTTTACAAAATAGTACCAGAAACCATTAAAGGTACCCTGTAGAGTTTTTGACATTCACATTCCTGCCAATGGCTTTACACTACTCCATTGATCTACAGATGGCAATAAGGCTCAAAGAAATGCAGCAGTGCGCCATCAAAGGCAAGCAAGAAGAAGAGTGCTAGTTAGCAAACATGTATGTAAACAATGCAAAATAAGCAAATGATTGGCTTTACATTTTTTTATGAGGAAGCAAATATATTCAGTACATTTGTCCGGCCTCAAGGATTTGTTTTGACGAGTACCACTGAATGTAAACAGAAACTTTGTTTATAAGAAAAAGTTATGTGATGCAGTTTTCTTCATATAGCCCTATTCAGCTGTCAAACATGTTGAAATTGCTTTTATAATTTTAATGTAGGCCTAGAGTAGGAAAAGTGTGTAGAGTGAGAAAAAAAATATAATTAAAGTAAATATTGGATCCTGAGACATGCTCAGAACCTCCTTATAATACCTCCACCTGTCTGGCTTTGGGCTCCAAAAGGTCCAGAAACATCCTTCTCTGTCTGAATCATTAATATCACACCATCAATCATTATGTATGATTAAATACTTGATTATATAACATTTAATAATACCGCCCAAGTGCTATAGCTCTGTGCACAAACAATACAGTTTTTACTGACCAAAAATGAAGCTTGAGCTTTAAATAAATTCTGGGCACACACACACACACAGTCTACAAATAAATCCCCAGCTCTCCTAGTAAGAAATACAAACTCCATTTACAGTAAACCAATATGCTGTATGTTTGTAAGTGTATCTTCAGTGCTCCTCATCTGTGTTTTTAATCACATTCAATGTTGCCTTTATGGTTATTTTGAAATTTTAGGGAATCCAAATACTGTCTAAGATCTGTGTGTGTGTGTGTGTGTGTGTGTGTGTGTGTGTGTGTGTGTGTGTGTGTGTGTGTGTGTGTGTGTGTAGGCTCCCTCCCTTGTGAAAGCTGATCCTGTCTGTACAGGGAGTGATTGGATTGTGCTGGGAGAAGCTGGGAGATATTGAGTGTCTGCTTCTGTTGCTCACTTCCTCGTCAGATTGAAAATAATGAGCTTTGTGATTCGACTTTCCGGTTTATACTGTAATACACGGGGAACACACGATTCTCTAAATCTAGATGTTTCTGAATAATTAACATAAGTGCAGTATCTGGTTGTAACAGCTCATGTCTTTCTGTATCTTCTTCCCTCCCTTGCAGTCGTAGCGTTTCATAATTGTAAGCATAACCTTTCTGCCCGATGGTGGGAAGATGGATTACTCCAAGTATCTCTCTCAGATGCATCACTTGATACAGCTGATGTACGGCCCATAAACTCTTCGCAGGCACTAAAACAACAAGGGGGGGAGGTGCGTGATACAAAAGTGCATTGTAGCAACGTCAACTTTAAACAGATAGCAGGTCCTTAACTCCCAGCTGTAAAAGCTGACAGTCAACACACATACAGTACGCCTCCTCCTCCAACACTCATGAATCACGAGAGCGATGCGATAAAGTGCTTACAGCCATCTTCAGCTGGAAGAGATTTCACTGTGCAGTCACATTTACAGTTTCATGATTTATATTGAGTATTATGTTCTCCTAAAGGCACAGTTTGGGTTTGAAGTGGGCCGTATTGTTGTTATTATTATTATTATTATTATTATTATGGAGGTCAGCACGCCCCCAGTTTGGAGAGGCAGACAGGAGTACTCACACAGAAGATATGAATGTACTGCTGTGGACGGGAGGAGCAGAAACACTTTAGTCACAAAAAAGGAAGTTGCAGTTGTACAGAAGTTATGTTATGCTAAGCTAAGCTAGCTGCCTGCTGGCTGTAGCTTCATATTGAGCGTACAGTCATGAGAGTGGTATTTATCTGCTCCTTAAACTGTTCCTTTCACATTATCAGAACTAACCCTCTTATGTTATACTTTAATTTCAGACTCATCTAATTATTTTCTGATTTAGAAATGAAATAAAATCACATTCAGTTCCCCTTTTCATCAAGAATCCATCAAGCTTGCACAGATTCACCTTTCACTACCTTTACGATCCTCACCGCTAGTTCATCAATTAATTCTGCACTTAATTAAATTAAATCACAATGAGCACTCTAGCAAATAGCAATTAGCCTAATTAAAGTGATAGAAAGATGATCTGTAAACCCTTAACATTGACTATAGGTGTTTTAATTAGTGATTTAATGAGCGCAACAATGAAGGCTTATTGAATGGTAACAAGTGAAGCCCCACAGTATAAAGTGTTAGCCACTGGTGTCTTTATGGCTGGAGTGCAGAGCTCAGAAAAGACAGAAGTAGATAGTAGAAGATTGTTAGATCGTACATATTTTATGACTTTCATGAAACAGATGATTTAGTAACAGATTATAAGCCAAATAGCTGCTACCTTTTTAAACCTTCCCTCGATAACAGTCATTCCCCAAAGCATGCAGACATTTTTTAGCTTTTGGAATAGTAACAGTCGCTCTGTGGAAAGTGTAATGATGTTCGCTGTCTGACACTTTGTTGTGAAAGTGGCACTACTTTCTGTTCACTTACAGCCATGATAATCCAATAAAAGTGCACATCTGTGCACATCTGAGTTTAACGTAGCTGAATGGTGAGTTTATGTGATGTTGTGTAGTTGTGTTTTTAACTTCAGCACTTGAAAGCACCACCAGGAAGGATTCACAGATCACTTTGCAAACTGAACACTAATTGAACTCTAAAATTCAGTTATTTTGACATGTGTTTCCTTATGTGTGTGTTGATTTTGATAGCGGACTAGACTTAAAGCCCCTGGAAGGTAGAAAAATTATATTTAAAAAGCTCCACTTGCATGAATTGGAAAAGTGACAGTAGTGTAAGCTGTAAACACATAATATTTATTTGACACGTTG